TCAAAGGCAAAAGAGTAAGTTTAACTTTGTACGTTACTCGATTGGGTTGTCTGAATTGGATGTGAGCCGAGAGCCTGAGCAAAATGGCTTTGATATGAATAATTCTAAAAGTGCATCGGAGGTTGGAAAATCTGTTAACGGAACTGAACAAATAACTGTATTAGAAGTCCAACCGAAAAACACGAATGCTACACAGTGTAATGCTGAAGGTAGGTTACTAAAAAATTCTGCCACTTCCGTATTTCTATTTTCATCTACTTATCTGTACAAAAAAATTTCTTTATTTTTATTATGCATAGGATAGCATGATTGAATCATGGGTACATAGTACATAAAGACATACATATATATATAACTATATTATTTTCTTATAGGCAATAATATGTCACCCGAAAATAAAATTAAAAACAACTTAGATCAATTAAAAACTCCTCCTTCGACTGAAAATGAACGTCCGGTCAATTACATTGGTTCGTTTGTGTCAGTTTCACGAGGCAAAGTGAGCGCACGTAAAGAGCGGGAAAAACGGGATAGCATTTACCTTCCCGGCGCAAATGATAGTCTAACAATCACAGCAGCAGGAACACCCGTTAAAAAGGCAAAAACCCCATGCACAAGTGCAGTTACTACGCCTGTCAATATTGAGGCTCGCCGAATTCTTGAGGCAGTGCGTTATTTCCGACAGCAACTTAGCAACGAAATCGATCGCTTGCATGTATTATGCGACCAGTGGGAAGAGTACAAACAACAAAATTTGCCCCTACTTCAAAAATCCGCCGGGGAAGATATGATCAACGTGACCATAGGTCAAACAAAACTGCTAACGAGTAAAAAGTTTCAACAGTTTAAGGGTCTAATAGATCGTTGCGAAAATGGAGCTAGAGGTACGGCAGCCGTCTACGACGGTAGTGAGGATACGAAGCCAATTACAGACGTTGATTTAGAAGGCTTTTGGTCCATGCTTAATCTACAGGTTAGTTCAAGCACTCTGAAGTTTTTTGATGCAATCTTAGTTTATATTCGTATTATATAACTTATTAGGTGGATAATGTTGAGAAAAGATTTGAAAATTTAACGCGCTGGAAAGCCAATAATTGGTCGGATCCCGATGAGATTCAGGAAACGAAACAACTCAAGCTAAAATGCAAACCAAATCTAACTAAAGTTAAAAAGGCAAAACCACCTGCAAAAACGGCAAAACCAAGCAGTGGTTTGCAAGCAATGTTGCGAAAAATGCACGCTGAAATGCGAAAAAATAAGGAAACTGCTTTTGGTGCTGGCGTTGCAGATGAAAATGTGCTGGTGTCGACAGCAACTCGCCAACGACAACGGCGTTCACACAGTGGCACTCCAAAAATTGCGGGCACTGAGCAGCGCAACAGTACGCCACGTCGTATCTCGGTTGTGGTACGTGATCGCAAATCTCTCTCGGCTGCTGCAACGGTTATCAGTTTGCTGGCTGATAGCTCAGTAGGATCTGTGGTAGCGGGAAATAGACGTCACTCACGTTTCAGTGGCGAGTCACCAAAATCCCTTAAGGCATCTAGCAGTGAATTGCGTCGAAGTCTCAGCAACATGGAGAATGCATTTGGCGCCTGTAGTGATTTGCTACGTAGCACACTTGCTGCAAACGCACAAAAATTACGACGTCGTAGTGGCACACCGAATTTCGTCGAATCTGCCATCGAATTGGATGTTAAGCAACCACAAGTTTCGGAAAAAGTGCGCACTCCTTCACCAATACTAGCATCTGCACCAGCTGCGAACATGGCACGTAAGTCCATATTGAAGACTCCTGGTACTGCGAAGGGCAAACCGAAGAATGTGATTTTTAACGAAAAGCTGCGTGTTAAGAAATTCAAATTTACCATAGAGGATGATGAATTGAGCGATGATGAGGAGCAGCAAATGCAAACGAGTACGGAAGGTAGAAAAAAATTAAAAATGTGTAAATCATATAAATGTTTAAACAAAATAATATATTTCTAGAGCCCCTCTCAACTCCGCGCGCTTATTCCTTACGCACGCGCAAAGTAGTTCTTCGACCATCAAGCGAATTCGTAATACCATTTAAGCAGATTTAATAAGTAGCTATTTTATTAATTGCGATTTTTTGTAATGCATTATTTGTCAATTGTTTACATAATTGTAATTTCCTAAATCTTGTTTTGTGTCTTATCAATAAAAGTTTAAAATTAATCAAGCACTTTTGTTTTGTACATATGTATGTACATTACAGGAAAAGCTTAGTGCCTGGATAAAAGATTGCCACGTTTTCTTCATAGTCACGGAGAATGTTACTAGTTCCGAAACTCTTAAATTATTTTATTTTTATTGTTTATTGTTTATTTTTTAGTTTATGAACGAGTGTCTTTAAGCTTTCAAAGATCTTGATTGATATAGTATGACTGCATTATTAACTTAATTTGTACGACGGATGCCATCTGCGCGTATCTAATCCCATACGCATTGTCATAAGCGAGTGTGAAGGATTAGTTTCGTGCGAATGGCATTCTTCGGACTGGAATAGGCATGAATCCGATCACTTGTTATAACAGTGCGAATCCGATTAGATCCGTGGATAGTATCATTTTAAAGATCTTGATTAGTTTACTTGCTGTCTCCACAGGCAAAAGTTTTTATATTATATTATTTTTTAAATTTTTTAAGTGATGAAATCCGGCAAAAATAGCCAACTTGCAAAATATTTCCCTTGATAAAATTTGTATCAGGCAATAAAAATGACAGTTGGTAGGCAAAAACTTTTGCCTGTTGAGACTGGCCTTTAGTGTGACCGCATTATTAACTCAATTTGTACTAAATTACCGATATCTATCCAAACCTGATAGCAATCGATATTTCTTGTTTTAAAAATTGTCAAAATGGCGCTTACGATAATCTTGTCCAGCCGGCGATATGTATGTACATAACCGCAGTACTGCATTTCCCTCATTCTTGGCATTTGGCAACTCTGCAGCGAACAGCTGGCGCCATTTATTTACTATCTTCTGATAAGCACCACAGTGGAAGTTTTAGTTTTGTTATCACGTTTCTTTTGGCTTTCTTATCTTTTACAGCGGTGTAGTGTTTTCAACAAAACCGATAAGAATTGTGTAGGCGGTAAGTTACAGTTAATTTTTTATATTTACTTTCATTGTCGTTTGTATGCATAGCGAAAGGGAAAGCTCAAAAGTCAGCAGTGTGCGATTTCGCAAGCTAATGTTCTCAAGCTCAAACCAAAATATCCTTTGCTTGACCGTCTTTTATTAGTGCAAATATATTCATAAAAACTGACAGAAGCAGACCACATTGGTAATCTACCAATCAGGAATGTTGCATATTTACTTTAATTAGTAATTTTCTTGATGCAATAGCATATAGGCCTATCATTAATTCCGTCGTAGATCCCGACGTTGTCACGTCGCTATCATGAATTCCGTCGAGATCACGAAATGCTGCCGCAAATTCGAAATTCGTGAGCATGGTATCACTGATTTCGAGTTATTTTATTGTGATTTATTATGGCTGTATTTCTTTATTCATTCTGAACGTTTGGAATAAACTTTTTTGTTTACATATTCTTTAGAACGTTCCTGATGATTTGTTAACGTATATTTCAAACGCATTCTGTTTATTCCGGCTGTGAAATGGGATTATCCGGAATGTATAAAGAAACGCAGCCTTTATTTTGATTTAGAAAACCAAAGGCAGCACTAACTACGAATGCGTCGGAATTGCTGATAGCATTTCTCCCGAATTCGTGACGGGAGATTTTTTTCTCGACGGGGATCTGGGTCGTTCCGATGGTTACGTAGACCCGACAGTCGTGGTTGTTGTTGTTGTTTTTGTAGCGGCTACAACAACCCCGCCCAGATCGGTTGATATCCCAATCGTTGTCGCCAAGTTCCACTAACGGCAGCCCTAGAAAGCGTGCAGCCTCTATCGGGTCGGTCCACAGGGACAAAGCCGTTAGAGTTGTCGGGTTTTCCGTGCATGCGAAGAGATGTTTCGAGTCATGTGGGGTCTATCCACATGCCGGACACTCATTTGGCACATCCTCATTCAATCTACTTAGGTATGAGTTTAACCTGCTGCAGTAGCCAGAGCGAAGTTGGGCTATGTTTGTTCGTGTCTCCCGAGGCAGATGAAGCTCCGTCTCGTCTATGTCCGGTGGTGGTGTGCCTAGAACGGTCTTCTTGATTAGTTCTGTAACCGCTTAAGCGATTCTCACCGCGTCCAATAAAGCACGCCGGTAGTTTCTTCTGTTCTGTGCCAACTGACGCTAAGGGATTCCAAAACAAATCATTAAGTCAAGTCCTTATTTCATTTTCATTTATTGCGAAAAAAACATTTGTACAATAAGATCTACGATCTTTTATAGTAAAAGGTGTTCAGCTCCTTTTCTTCGCAAAACAGAAAGGAGAATTCTACTGCCTGAGGGTTATAATCCCTAAGTGCGGCCGAAGGCCGCCTACGCAGAAAGGTGTTCTCTGCAAAATGTGTTCAGCCCCCCCCTTCTTCGGCAACACGGAAATAATAATTCTACTAAGTAAAAATTCCGAATTAAAAATCCGCTTTTATTATTCAAAATTCCAGTCTGGTGGCACTAAGTTGTATGTTATTTTGCTATCTTATTCATCGTTTATATGAAAACTTTAACAATAAATTATATAAGAACTATAGGGTTGCTAGAAAAAAGGGGGGTAGTTTTGGAATCAGGGGGTCCTATTCTACCTCCCCTCATCCCCCCTTTTTCTAGAATTTGCCGTCCGTCTACTAAAATTTTCCCAAAATTTTAGTTGGGTTTGTATTTTGTTTGTTTGTTCACATTTGGGTATATATTCTATATTATTGAATATATTTTGGAATGTCTGGTATGTTTTGGTATAGCTGGTGTTTATGAATATATTTTTTGTTAATATCTCTTTGGCAGGTAGATTGTATGCAAAACATTTTGCTATTTCTTTAGCTGTGGCGAATTGAAATCTTAGATGAGGTGGGAGTTCAGCAGCCATGTGGTATATGATATTGATGGGTGTGGATCTGATTAGACCCATACATCTTCTAAGTTGTGCGTTCATACATACTTTAAGTTTTGATAATGCTGTTTGGCTAATATTTGCGAAAGATGAAGCTGCATATTCTAGCTTTGGTCTGATTATTGTTTTATATAATTGTAGTCCAGTGGCTGGGTGAGATCCGTATTTGCATCCGTTCAGTATTTTCATGAAATTACCTGTTTTGTTAATATCTGTTGTTATTTTCCTTACATGTTCAGTAATGGAGTTATTTGTTGAGATCATTCGACCGAGGTACTTGATTGTAGTGACTTGATTGATTGCGACGTTGTCAAGTTGGATACGGATAGCTTCCTGATTGCGGTTAAAATGTGCAATGCTTGATTTGTTGGGGTTTATTTTAAACTTTAGTTCTTTGCATTTCTCATTGAATTGGGTTATCGCGTTGCGAAGTATTTCTTTCGTCCTAAGTACGTTGTAGTGATGGCAGATGATGAAGAAATCGTCTGCGTATTGGAATAGTGTACAGTTTCTATTGCTTATCGTGTGTAGGCTCATTGTATAAATATTGAACAGAAGCGGGCTTAGTCCCCTGCCTTGACATAGTCCTTGTGTTGTAGTCTTGCGACTGTCTTCTATAATCAGAATTCTTTCACTTAAATACGACCAAATCCAAGATATTATATTTTTTGGTATGTTGATATCATTTAAAATTTTTGCTAAGATGTTGCTATCTACTGACTCAAACGCTTTGCTTATGTCAACACAAGCCGCCATTATTTGATAACCTTCCATTTTCGCCTTTTCTACTGATAGTATAACATCGTTTATACAGGTTGATGTTGATCTGTTCTTTCTGAATGCGTAAGACCGTTCTGGTAGTATATTTAGTTCTGTTGTTTGCTTTTCTATCATTTCCTTGATTTGATTTTCAATAATTTTTAAAAATGTCGGCAGTAAGTTTATTGGTTTGTAATTTAGAATATTAGATGGATCGGTTTTCGGTTTCGGGATCGGTATAACTTTGATTATTATCCACGCTTCAGGGATTCTGCCTGAATTCCAAATTTCCTCTAATGATTTGAATATTGCTAGCTTTTGTTCTGTTGAAAGTTGTTGTATCATTTGGTAGCTGATTCCGTCATATCCTTTCGCGGAGCTGGGGTTTCTGCTTGTAATAAATTCCATGAAATTGGTTGACGATAGTTTAGGCGAAGAATTATTTTGTATCCTTATTGTAGAATTGTTAGAGCAATTACTTCCTGCGACCATCGACAAAAACGATTGTTTTTGTTGTTCTGTCCAGGAGTTTCCTAGATTGGTTTTTTCACATTTGTACTTTTTAATGTTTTTGATGGTTTTCCAGAACTGTTTCATGTTTGTGGTATGCGATAGTTCGTCAGTAGTTTTTTGGAAGTTATTTTTCTTAATTTCTTTGATATAGTCTCTCAGCTTTTTTATTGCTTCAGCCAATGCTGTGCAATTTTCGTTGCTGTTTTGCAGAAGGTATTTTGCCCTGGCTGCATTGCGAAGTCTGATTAGTTTGGTACATTCCTTATCCCACCAGGGTTTGGGTACAAATTTATTGTTTGCAGGAATATTTATAGTGTGTCTGTTTATTGTAGTTTTAATAATACTTTGTATGTCTATGATATTAGTTGGAAATGTTGTATGGTTTAATTCATTTATTACTCTGTTGATTAGTATTTTCATTGTTTTTGTGTTCCTTATTTCACTATTGATAGTTGTTATAGTTGGTAAGTGATTGCTGTTAGTGATTTTTGAATTATGTCTTTTCCAGGAAATTTGAGTTATATCACCGTTGAAGAAAGTTAGGTCTATCGCCGATTCTGTCGCGTTTGGGGGTGTGTACGTCGGGCTTCCGTCATTGATACATGCAAAGTTGTTGTTAATTGAAGTTATTTCGAGCAATTCATCTTTACGGTCTGTGATAAGGTTTCCCCATAATGCAGATTTCGCATTAAAATCTCCTGTAATTATTGAGTTTGTTTGCTGTCTATTCGCCCAGGTAAAAATGCTATCAATTCTTGAATTGGTGTTATATATGTGGCGATTATGTTGTAGTTCTGTTTTAGATTTAAAGTGGTTATACCAATGGTTTCGTCAATATTGATCTGCAGTATGGAGAATTTGATGTTTTTCCGTATATAAATGCCTACC